CTCGGGCCCCAGAGAACGACAGAGCGAAGGTCCCTGCTAGGGGTGCTAATGGCCGGCAACCGAGTACTCAGTGGAACGTCCATGGACTAGTCCATTAGTCGATGGGGGGGGGTGCAGGCGCTGCCCCCGCTGTGGCGCTGCAGGTTACACGTAGCCAACCCGCCTGCTGCCCAGCCCCTACTACCCTGCAGCTGGGTTAGCTCCCGGCGGGGGCGCAAGCTGGAAACCCCGCTGCGGCTCTGCCTGTGGTACTGATTTAAAAGGCGGAGGCGCAGCGTGGGACCCAGCACCGCCTCCTGCCGGGTCCAGGCCGCTGCGCTGCTGCCTTTTAAACGGAGCAAGAGCCAGACGGTTGTTACCGGTTTAAAAGGCAGCGCCACAGCGGGTCTGGACTTGGAGCCAGCCAGGCAGGTCTTCGTACATTGGAAAGGTAGAGCCGCTGCCTGCCCTGCCATCCCACTACACTAGGAGACAGTGCTGGGGAGAATGTCTTTAAGCGAGTTCCCCTTAGCGTTCCCCTGCTTCCTCCCGCCCCTGACCTTGTGGCCTCTGATTAGAGGCATCAGGCTGGGAATGTGAGTAGTTGACTCAACTACCAGATAAAGCTTATCAGCTAGTCCACTATTCAACTACTCTTTTACATCTCTAGTACCTGCTGGGGGCTCTGACTGGTGACAGGCCTCTAAGCTGGTGGCAAGGGGAGATGGGATTTCTCTGGGGCAAAAGGTGGGGTGCAAAGTGAGGAGGTAGTATGATCCCCTGTTCCTCTGTTGGCTTGCACAAACAAGAGTCCCTGGCATTCTCAGGCCACAGTGAAAAATGTTTAAATTACCTAAACACTCCAATTCCACTGCCACCCTGCCATGCCACCCAAGACTGCCCTGCCCTCACCCTTCTGTGTCAGTTCAGTACAGCCAGTCCCCGGGTTACGTACAAGATAGGGACTATAGGTTTGTTCTTAAGTTAAATTTGTATGTAAGTCGGAACTGGCTCCATATTCAGCCGCTGCTGCTGAAACTGACCAGGGGCTGACTACAGGAAGCTGGAGGAAGAATTGCTCTGCCCCCAGCTTCCTGGAATCAGCCACTGATCAGTTTCAACAGCGGCTGAATCTCTTTGTGCACATAGCTCAGCTCCTCTCAGTTCCTTTGTACTTCCCTCTATCTCAGATCTCAATCCTTCTCCGCTTTTCCTTCATGCAAATGAGAACAGAGTTATTCAGTTATAATTCCTGTTTTTATCTAATGTTCTTAGGTTTAGTTGTAAAAAAAAAAAAAAAAAAATTTTCCGCAAAAGCAAAACTTGCCAGCAACCGGTTGAGAAACACTGCGCTAAAACTACCTGCAATGGCACTTCACAGTAAGAAAAAGAAAAACTCCAGGTTTGATTTAAGATGGAAAAAAAAACACTCCACGCAACACATCGCATGGAGAAGCAAAAAAAAAAAACCCAGACAATGTCTGGTTGACCTGGATGGCCATGGGTCTTGCATTTGATGCTTGGGTGAGGTGCATATCCCTCAAAAATGCATGCACTCAGGGCCGGCTCTAGGTTTTTTACCGCCCCAAGCTAAAAGATGTTTAGCCACCTCCCCCCTTTTTTTGATGGCCTTAATCAGACCCTTGCCGCACATTTTCTAAAGGTATTCCATAGTGTGGGTATGGGTGACAGGGGTCGGATCACTTGATGATTACCTGTTCTATTCATTCAATGCTCCTTGCATTGGCCACTGTCGGAAGACAGGTTACTGAACTAGATGGACCTCTGATCTGACCCAGAGACGCAGGGAGCTCTCTAGTTCCTAGACGCCATGGTGAGTTCACCGCAGTTCCTGATCTCAACGCAGCTCCCTGCACATGCAGTGGGTTTCCCACAGCTCACAGTCTGCACACTCGACGAGGAGTCCTGTGGCACCTTATAGACTAACTGAAGTGTAGGAGCATAAGCTTTCGTGGGCAAAGACCCACTTCGTCAGATGTGACGAAGTGGGTCTTTGCCCACGAAAGCTTATGCTCCTACACTTCAGTTAGTCTATAAGGTGCCATAGGACTCCTCGTCGCTTTTGCAGATTCAGACTAACACGGCTACCCCTCTGATACTAGTCTGCACACTGAGTTCCAGAGCCCCACAGGGAACTCACCACTTGGGCTGGAAGCCATGGCCACTTTTATTATTTGCAAATTTTGCCATTTGTGGTAGTGCCAGGAACACATCTACCACGAATGGTGAAAATTTCCTGTATTTTCAGAACAAGATTCTTAATGTTTTCAGGGATGACTGATTATTGTTCATCTAACTAATATGAAATTTTCATGAGCCACTATTTTTTCCTAAGTATTTCTGTATATATGGTAGAATTACAGGATCAATTGTGATGAGTAAATTATTAATTCTTTTGTAATTAATTTCATAGTTAAACAAAATATCAAAATTCATTTAGTGTTTCTCAAGAGGACAAAGTGAATATATATTTGAATATTGCATATGACAGAAAACATAAATGTGAAGGGTGTAAAATCATGTGATATGTGTCAAAGTGTACCACATATGCATCAAATCGTCCTGTGACACCTTTATTGATATATAGTTTCTTTTTTGGTTTATGTAAAAGGAAGACAGAGTGACTTACAATAGCCAGCCAACTTCAGTGATTGTACTTTATTCAGTATCTTCAGGGGGTAGCCGAGTTAGTCTGTACAGGATAACGAGCTGTACCAACAGCTCTTTATCTGTGTAGATTCTTGTGCTAGTACTCTTACTCTCTAAGTGCTATACTGTGATCCTTATCTGCTTCTTTAAACTATCCAATTTTTAGGTGCTTATAGATTACCAGGTTTGCTTTTTTGGTTTTCCCTTTTATATTTACATACCGTCTGCTTCTTTTTTCCCACCTCCTTCCATTTTTTTCCTTTCCCCCTTTCCCTTCTCCCCTGTTTATTTTGGGTCTGGACATCCTAAACTCAAAACTCGGGTCATCTGAAGAAGTGGCCTATGCCCACAAAAGCTCATTATACCATCTACATGTTTTGTTAGTCTATAAAGTGCTACCAGACTATTTGTTGTTTTTTAAGTTTATTCAGGAAGTTGTTCAGAAAATAAACTATTTTGTTAAAACTGTTTTAATAGTTAGAAGTGACCTGCAGATGGCAATATTGCTTTCTTATTGGGATTTTAAGTAAGAACATTATGCTGATTTCTAGAACTGTAACTCCGTTCAGGCAAAATGGAACTCCTTTCTCTTAGCCTTACATTTACTAAGGAAGTGAAAATACATTATTATCAAAAATGAATTGGCTTGAATAAAAATGGCACTAATAGGCTTGACTGTTTTAAGGATAAAAATTATGAGAAACTGATGTCATGTTTTCTTTTGCATTTCTTCAAGTTAGTAATTATGTAGCTTAAATAAAAGAATGTAATTCAATGACCTGAGCCACACAGGGTTCTTCTATTATTTATCTTAGTCCTACCACTTATAATATCACTTCTTGTGTATTAAATTACAGTAGTTGCACACTGGTCCAGCTCTGGAGTTTTATAATATGTCTCAGGGTATGTCTACACTGCAGAATTTTCCCAGAAAAATGGCCATTTTTCTGGAAAAACTACACTTATGTCCACACTGCAATTGTGTTTTCGACAGAAAGTCGAAAGAACACAGGGTTTTTTCTGACAGCTGCAAACCTCTTTCTACGAGGAAAAAGCCTTTTTCCAAAAGAGCTCTTTCAGAAAAAGGCATGTGTGGATGGGGAAGAGGGGTTGTTTTTTTTTTCAAAAGAAGAGGCCTCCAGGAAAAAGCACGGGTGTCCTAGTGACCACTCTGTCCAAAGTAATCACAACTTAAATGCGAGATAGCGTCCAATCAATGTGGACACTATTTTTCGAAAAAGCAGATTGCTTTTTTGATGCACTTTTGCTGTGTGGACAATCTTCTGGAAAAGCTTCTTCCGAAAGAAGCCTTCAGTCTAGACTTAGCTTCTCTTTAATAAGTTGTCATACATCCATCACAGATCCTACTGTATAATACTCCAATTTGATCTGATCAAGGTGAGGCAGGACATTAGGAATTTGTCATAACACAGTCCCTGGCAGACATCTCCCTGCTCAGGGAAAGCAAGGAAATGGAGGCACAACTTCTGCAGGCTTGTGGCTTTTGCTCTGCTCCATATGCAGCCCACATATATTCCACTTTGGTTCCTGCATAAGTGATTGCTGAATGTTACAGACTAACAGAATGGGGGAGAGGACAAAGCTGCACTACCATAGAATCGGCAGCAGAAAATTTAAGATTATCTCAGGAAAAGTTTCAATAGCTTCTCTCTGCAGTAGTCCATTGAGATCATGGTGAGCATCAATATCCTGCTTGGATATGTCGATTAGTTACATAGGGATATGTGCAGCTCACAGAAACACAGCCAGTCTCCCATTTTTCCATGCCCTCAGCCCTGCACTCCACAGCCACTTATCTTGGGTCTCATACCCTGCTTTCTGGTCCTCGGAAAGCAGCTGTTCAGATTGGCTATGTCCATCAGCAGAGAACAGTTCTTGGCTGCCAGACACACTTGAAAACTCCAGAGGGAGCTCCTGATCTTCATCTACCTCAATCTCTTAATCTACTATTTAATCTTCCAGGTTAAGTTATCCATGTACCTGTGCCCTCCAAAGAAACCTTGAGGCTTGTGGAGGTGATGTTACTGCCTAGGATAGCATCCTGCTCCTTATAGAAACAGCAGGTGTTTGGTGAAACATGAATCAGATCACTTCACGGGCCTTATGACAGGCTTGTCTCTATTCTTTAACCTTTGATCTGCACTGCAGCATGTCCCTTTCATAACCCTTTTCACGCAAGGCTTAAGAAATGTGCCGGTACATGTTCCAGTCCCTACTGATCACTCTCAACTGGGACTGAATAGACTCTTCCCCATACACTGATCAGATCCAACAGCTCTGCAGCTGTTCAAGTAAGGGAATGTTTGATGAGATGGCCAGGCATGGGCACCCTGGGAAGATGCCATGAGACCACTGCACTCTGTCTCAGATGCTCAGTCTGCTTAAGGTACCACAGCTTGTAAAATCAGCCCTGTATGGTTTACCTCCTGCATTGCTTCAAATATCTCAACAACGAGGTGGATGAAACTAGACAGTCACTATCCTGTCCAATGAACTCACACAGAAAAGCCAGACAGCAGGAAATGGAATTTAAATGTTGTGCGGATTGCATGGAGCAGGGTGGGTAGCTGGTGACCCGGCTGCATATGGTTGCCAGATGGTTTCAACAAAAATACTGGACACACTTGACATTACATCACAATCTGCATTACATCTTATTTAAAAAATACTGGACATTTATATTTTCTTGTTTATATTTTCTCAATTTTTTTCCCGAACAGAAAGCTCAAACACTGGATTGTCTGGGTCAAAACTGGACAC